ACACACACACACACACACACACACACACACACACACACACACACACACACACACACACAGATGGAAAGACATGTAGGGAGAAAGAGAGAGAGAATCTGCAAATTAGTCATGGTTATACAAGAACTGTAAAAACTGTGAAAGGGCCAAGACCTGCACAGTGTTGCCGTCATGGTTGTGAATACCATAATGTGTGAAACACCACGTATCTAATAGTAGAAGTTGTGAGCTGTTTGGTTCATAAATGACATGTCAAATTTTCAAACAACGTTAAAAAAAGTGTCAATAATATTTTCGGAGGTGTCTTTCAAGTCAGTAAAACAAATTTGTATTCCAGAGTTAAAAGTTAAAAGACATGGCATTTTGAAAAGTCAATGCTAAAGGCCCAACTTCCCTGTACTGTTATTAATTACATCTGTGTTTTTCCGACAGTGAAAAATATGGAGCAAGAAAAGCTGAGCTGCAGAAAGTTAGCCATGCAGCTAATGGCTTATTGTGAAACAAACATTAAGAAATAAATACTGAACAGGTATTACAAAACACACAATAAGTCACAGATGTAATAGCCCAGTGTTACTGTAAGGTATAAACAGGATTTAGTGGTAACAATATATTAGCGGTGAGCAAGCTAGCCACTATCATCTCTCTTGTGTATTCAACATTAGCATAAATAATAAAAATGTGCTCACTGCTACTTAAGGCGAAAACAAATGCCCACCTGAATAGTAAAGAAAGGAGAGAGGTAGTGAAGGTTACCATTACCAAATTTCAGTTATATTAAATATTTTTCACAATTTTTTTATCCTTATTCTGATTACAATCCTTTCGTAATGTTCTTAATTTACGTCACATAATGTGGGCAACGTAAATTACTGGTTATGTAATTTTAACCCAAACCAGAACCTAAACAAATAGTTGTGTTGCTAAACCTAAGTGACACCAAGGGGTCCTGACCCAGCTTTCATATGTGACAATTCGGGAATGAGAAAGAGTCTTTAGGCCTTTTCAGATTTCCTTTTTTTCAGATTTCTTTCCCTTTTTTCCAGCAGTAGCTAGCTTTGTCAGTTAGCCAATGCAAAACTTAGCTTGTTGTAGCAGCCCTGAAGGACTGTTAAGCTGACGGCAAGTCGGCTTGTGTCACAAGCAGGCACTGTCCTTCCCACTCTCACCGAGAAACTTCATTTCAACTTTGAAATGTTCAGCTTCATAAGGAAACATATGATTGTTATTTTCCATTCTTGTGTTTGACTTATTGGTCTAACAGTTATTACAGGGATCCCAAGCGAACCCCGCAACACATTCACACAGTCACTCTTTAAGCCTGCAGGGGGTGAGAAGGATAGATTTTGGGTGGAGTATTGCTTTAAACTGGAAACATCTGCCTCCCTATAGATGCTTTGCTCGCCCAGCTGTTGAGTTACATAATGTTCTATCTGTAAATGCATAACATCACCACTAACATCAAGCATGTGTTCTAAAATAGATGTAGATGCCAAATTGATATTTTGTCTAATGACACGGTGGAAGGCGAGGCTTTTGCACCTTTTCATCAGCATTCCCTCCGGATATGAGTGGCCTAGTTTCCACATTTAACTTGTGAAATGTTTGTTATTTCTGTGACTGGATCATCAAAGACAATACAATGTCTTTCAGTCACTATGAAGGATTCTCTACAGTGTTTGTTAAGGGTGTTGGAATGTTGTGTGATGTATTGTTTTAAAGTCTTAGTTTAGCTAATACCTGGGATTCCAAATACATAACGTTGTGGTGTGAAGATCTATTAGTATCTTGTCCTATTAGCATTTCATTTTATTAAGGTTTTGTCACAATTCAAGAGTTCAGGGGAATTTGACTTATACTTCTTGATGTCATATAAACAGGATGATTGAGACTCTCTACAGCCACTGCTACAGTATTTGGCTGATGCATTGGTATTGTGTTGATTTTTGTGATTTGAAAACAAAACAATATTAGATAGTAGTCACTTCCTGGGGGATTAGATCATTCACAAATTCACAAATACAAAATCAAAATGTACCACGCCACACGTGCACAAACATTTTTCACATACAGCTATTAGAATACTACAGACTAATAGTATTTGAAGACGTACTTTCCATTTTTCAATACCAACAGTAACACAGTATGTATGGTAATGTGTTCCGCTTCCCTGTGCTGCTAAGCTCTTGGCTCCAAAGGAGTGAATTGGCTCTTCCCTCTTGCATCTTTTATAAAAAATAACTGTTTTTATGTTAAAAAAGTTGGTTGAAAAAGTGTGCTGCTGGGTGCACTGTGCGTAGGAGACAATTGTGCTGTGATGTGTTCATGTGCTTCAAGACTTGAGAGATAGCAGATGAGCACCAGCCATTTAAATAAAAAAACATTTGAATAATTATTAATAATTATTCTTTTCACGACAACCAGGTTTACTACACATCTTCACACGAGCACATGAACACAACACACTGCCATGCAGACACATGTCCTGTATTTCTTTCACATTATTTAGACTCTGGAAATACAACTCAACTAACAACCGTGGTTCTCCACCAGACCAACAGCGGCAAAGCAACAAAAATTAAGCAATCAAGGGTGTGAGTTTAGTAGCTTCTTGCTTTGCAAAAATTGTATTTCCACAGCATGGAAACACACACACACACAAAGCTTAGCACAGTGGTTCCTGAACCTTTTCTACAGAGCTCCTCTTTTGTGGATATGAATATTTTCTAGGCCCAGCCCGGGCCGGAGCTAAGCGTTAGCGTCACCTCAGCAATCAGAGCGGCCAAAACACTTTTCAACTCAAAATAGCAAACAGGATAAAGCATGCAAGAGCACATGGTCTTTGAATATGAATGATGTGTGAGTGAGGAAGAGGAAACAATGAAGTCACCACTCTGTTACCAACACGTCTTTCTCACAACAGACATTGAGGTGTATTTAATAACTCCATAACGGTTGCTTTCCATTTATGCTGGCTTACCGGCACACCAAAATGAAAATTATTAGTCACACCTTTGCTTGAATGTCAGAATGTCATTGCAGGGGTAAATGCTGCTGCCTCCATGTAACACTTCATGTGAGGGCTTATGACATCCCACCAGCATCCACCTGTAGACTTTCCCTGGGTGAAAGGTTTTATCGCCACTCCCCAGTCTGTGCTGTTTTTAGGTTGCCTTATCCAGGCAGTGACAAGGTCAGAGCCTATATGTCAAATATAATTCATGTCTGCCGTGAAAAACACCTAGAACACCTCTAGCCTATAACATATCACCATTCAATTGTGAAAAAAGGTTAAATCTGGTTACAACTCCAAGGACAATGTGGAATGTAAATTATGAATCCTTACACAAACAGCTACCAAAAAAACAAAATTAACAAAACTACAGCGGTGACACGTAGTGCCTGGAGGTGTCAAAATTGCAAAGGCTATTATTATATATATATATATATATATATATATATATATATATATATATATATATATATAT